ACAACATCAGTCCCCATTGCCATTGAGACCAGATCTAAACTCCTTGGCCCGGCTTACACAGCTTTTTTATGATCTGACTTCTGCTGCTCCTGCCTCGTTTTCCAACCAGCCTGACTACACTCCAGTAGAGAGTAATCACATGGCAGGCTTTGGCTACAAGCCTTCATATCTTCCCTACCCTTCTTCCTGGGTGTCTAACCTTACCTCCCACCCCTGGCCAACTTCTCCTTCAGGTCTCCCATGAGCTTTCTCTTTCTTCCCTGCCCACCCCAAATTGAGTTAGGGGGGACAGGTGCACCTCCTGAGCCCACTGTGCACACCCAGTGACACACTTGATCACACTGCACTTGACCTGCACTCCCAGCCCCAAAGACTTAAATTCCATGAAAGCAAGGACTGTGGCTTATTTATTACTGCATCCCCTGTATCTGGCATAGTGAGGCCCCACCAAGAGTGGTGGAAAGAGTGAATGAATAACTCAATGATTACACAAGAAAGAAAGAAAGAGAAATTCTTAAGGGTCTGAGTCACAGTAAATTAGAGAAACCAGGTCTATAAAATGAATGAATAGACAAGAAAAAATTCTTACTGAATGATTCACAACTAAGCCAAGTGTAGGATCCTAGCCCTATACTCTCTTTCACTTAAGACCGTTCTTTATTGCACAGTGTGGACAGCAAGCAGTGCCAGGGAGAGTGGAGAAAACCAGATCCACTTCCCACCAAATGAGCTTGGTTTCCTCAGAGATTAGGTCTTATATTATTTGCTCTATAAACAAGAGTAATCAACAGAGTGCTAATATTAAAAGAGCTAATATTAAAAGTGGAGTTCAGCTGGGCGTGGTGGCTCATGCCTGTAATCCCAGCACTTTGGGAGGTTGAGGCAGGTGAATCATGAGGTCAGGAGATCAAGACCGTCCTGGCTAACATGGTGAAACCCCGTCTGTACTAAAAACACAAAAATTAGCTGGGCGTGGTGGCATGCGCCTGTAGACCCAGCTACTCAGAAGGCTGAGGCAGGAGAATTGCTTGAACCCGGGAGGTAGAGTGGAGGTTGCAGTGAGCCAAGGTCGCACCATTGCACTCCAGCCTGGGCAACAGTGCAAGATTCCATCTCAAAAAAAAAAAAAAAAAAAAAAAAAAGGAGTAGAATTCAGTATCTGTTGTTTTTAGTGATCTTTTTTAGAGAACATATTTTTAGTGAACTTTCTAATCTTACTCATTTATGAAATATGTACAGTAAAATAATACAGTGTTTGAGATTTAACTCAAAATTACCAGTGGGAAGGAGAGTGAAGCACAGAGGTAGAGTTGAAACAGAATTAACCAGGAATTGGCAGCTTTTGGAGCTGGTTGATGGTCCTATGGGGGTTCATTCTATTGTTTTTTCTGCCTTGGCATAAGTTTGAAATTGTTCAAAATAAAATGTTTTAAAAGTAAAACAATTACTTAAAATAGTCATGATCATCCTTAAAACCCAAAAAAAACTGGTGGAAGAAAGTCGTTCTCAGCCTTGCCACTTGATTCAATGAGTGAAAAAAAAAAAAAAAAAAAAAAAGAAAAGAAAGAAAGAAGAAACCAGCCATACATTGTCTGGAGCCAGTGTGGTCTTGGTTAGCTGGAAAACAGGAATGTTCTCCAAGGTTAGTAAAATGTAATGAGTTCCACGTAGTTTTCAGGCACCAGAGTTTACAAATCACTGCAGTTTGATTGTTTGATTTGTAACTCCATTCACATGTCCGCAAGAAACACAGCCTCCGCCCATTTTCCCCATTATTTGCTCAGCCAAACAATACTTTTCCACAGCACAGTCCGGCCAATCTCAGAAAACACCCAGGGACGCCGTTTTACGACCCTTGGCACCGCACGCCCCTGCACCGTGTTTCCACAGCTCCAGCGTTCCTCCCTTTAAAGTTTGCAGAAATCAGCAGCGCTGCATTTCTTTTTATTGCTCCTAACGTTTGTGGCTTCCAGTGGGGAACGTTTCCTTCTCCGAGAGGCCTTTCACCCCCGCCACGCCCGTGCATCCGCGGCCCCAGCGCGTCTGTCCTCTCTCCTCCTGCCTCTCCGCGGCCCTTGCCGCCTCTGCGCCCACGCGGCCACGTGGCCTTTTCTGCCCTGGCAGCGGGTGTTTTTCAGCCCCGTCCGCCCGGCCGGGACCTGCGGTGTCACCAGGCAAGGGGGCCCTGGGACAGGGCCCTGGGCCTTTCTTGCCGCTCTTTGACCAGACCCCCTCATAAGAAAAATTCCCTGGCCAGGGTTCCCTGGCTGGGCAGAATCCAGGCCATCCTCGGGTTCGTGTCCCCTCTGGCCTTCACGGAGGCCGCCCGGGGAGTCCACTTCTCCCCAGTGTCTCTCGCGCCCAGGCTGCCTCTCGGTCATCGTGGGGCTAGCTCTGCCAGTGCTCGCTTCACGGCTCCCTCCTGCCCTTCTCTTTGCAGCTTTTTTCTATTTTAGCTAAATTGGAAGTGAAGATGCCTCACTGCGTCTACACCGGAGGTGGGTTGTTTTTGTTCTTGGTTCTTACATCCTAAAAACCATTTAAATGACACTTCTCTCCTGTTTTTAGAAAAGTCCATAAACAATGCACTTCTGCTAGGGTTCTTCCTTTCGCTCCTTAAGCCCTGTGCCTTAGCGCGTGCAGTCTTCTAAGAGCTGCTTTTAGAGAAATTGCTGTTGGCTAGCTTGGAATACTTTCTATTGCTATGCACTTTTGGAGCTCACCATGAGCACATTGGATTTTCCTCCTTAACCTTGAGACAAAGTTAAGGTTATTTTATAAAACAAAGTGAGACTTAATTATTAAAAAGAAATGGAGACAGAGAAGTCAATTCACCTAGATTACAGCTAGTAATTAGCCAAACCTCATTCTCATTCCCCACTCCTCCATCCTGATTCCTTTACACATTCACTCCGTCTAGGTTCATTAATCACTCATTCTGTACCAGCCAACATCCAAATCCAGACCCGAAAATGAGTGTTTATCTAAACATTAAAAAACAGGATTTTAAAAAGAACAAAATACCGACTTTTCATCTCTCTGTTTGCTAAAGTGACAAGATCACTGATACTGACTTACTTTGGTATAGATGCTTGGATTTTATGGGAAAATTCTTGCTTCACAAATATATGGCAGAAATAAAACTCTAGACCATAAGCTTTCATTCGACAGTGGTAATTCTTTTCATTCTGATCCTGGTAAGGGAGGCCCCTTTAGGACGAGACAGACTGTGCACAAATCCCCCAGTGCTACTTAACTAGTTGAGCAAGTTAGTCATCTTTTCAAACCTATTTCTTCAACTTTAAAATGAAGATAATGGGTTTGTTACATATATAAAGTACTAAGGATAGTGCAAGGCTGAAAAACACTTAACATAGCTCCCTTTTCTTTCCCTGTCAACTGGAAATTTATCATGTTATTAAGAATAAAGAGTAAAATGTTTTAATAATAGGCAAACAAATCTCATTCTTTTTCATCCTGCATCAGATTGTCCTGGAAACACTGCAAGAAGTGACTAAGCATATCTTAGTTTCAAGCCTACTGTTTGATTGATGTGTCAATGAGAAATGAATGACTAGGTGGCATGCAGTGAAAGAATCCCAGGAAGGTTGTAATCCACGCCCTGGATAATCACAGGCAGTTCCTGGAAAGTTGGACAGAAACACTAGCTCAAAAATACTTGTTGAGTTCTAGAAAATAACCCTATCATAATTACTTGTTTTCCTCTTTGAACTGACTTCCTTCAGAGTAGGGTAACGTGAGATTTTAAACCTGATTTTAAAACATTTTTATTGAAGCAAAAATTCACATGTCTTTCTTTTTAGGAAGAGAGGAAAGTAGCTTTCCTACTTGTTTGCTTGTTGTATTTCAGAGGCGGTAAAATTACTGATTTATCATTACACCTGTCCCACTTCAACCTAAGATTAGAAAATATATCATTTCAAAATAATCTTCAGAGTAATAATAATAAAATGATGTTCCAAAGGAGAGAGAGAGTTTTTAGGAGATCAACGAAAGCTTTTCATTAAAAAACGGAGCTGTTTGCCTGCCCACACTGTTAATGAAAAGTAAAATGTACCTTTTAGTACAGGAACTGATTTCTAGTGTGCAAATTCCGTTCTCTAATATGGAATGTTTGCACATCATTAACCAGCCTTCTACTTGTTCACAGTATAGATATGACCACCTTCTATTAACGGAATATATACTAATGTGTGTAGGTTCACCTTTAATGGGATAAATGATGATGGATGCAAAACACTTTTAACTGTAGCACGCTGTACAAACGTTCATTCTAAAATTGGGAAAAGCATATTATGGATTCTTGTTTTTAAGCATAGCTACTCATGTTCTAGAACCAGGTCATATTTTGGGGGTTACCAAATATTCTTTTGTAATGATGCCTGGCTGTTAAAAATGCTTTCTGCTGAGACCAAAGATATTGTAGTGTATGTTGTTGTTGGAAAACATTCTCCTAGATGAGTGGTATTTTAAATTATTGGGTTTTTTATAATTAAATGTAGATGTCAGCATATAGACTTTGCCTTATTTTTAGAAAGTTTGGGATTTGTGGGTGGAAAAACTCAGAAAACGATTTCTTAAAAACAAAATTGCATTTTTAGTAGAATCTGTTTCAAAGTGCTTTGGAGCAATAATGTTTTTAAAGTAGCAGAGAAGCTTGTTCTGAGTAACATGGGGAAAGATGTGATCTTCCATTACCGTGACAGCACTTAGCCATGATCACCATGTCAGGAACATTTTCTTTGCAGGTGAAAGACAGTGAATAAAAGAATTTATTTGATAAAGCCTAGGACTGTTTTGAATTGTCTGGTCCTGAGCTGTTTATCAAGCATGGACCAACATTTTGCAGACAACCATGATTTTTTCCCTACTGCCATCTTCAAAAGTGCTACCTTTGACAGTGATAAAAGACACCTTTTAGTCTTAGTGCCCGAGCAATTGATCTAATTGTCTTCACTGTTCCCTCTTTTCTGTCACAGAATCGGAAGACTTTTTGACGGTACGGAGCCCATTGTTTTGGACAGTCTCAAACAGCACTATTTCATTGACAGAGATGGACAGATGTTCAGATATATCTTGAATTTTCTACGAACATCCAAACTCCTCATTCCTGATGATTTCAAGGTGAGGGATCCATTTTAAATGACCAATAGCCTAAATATAAATATGTGATTTTTTTAATGTGCTCCAAAAAATATTTCTAGTTCTACATTATTAACATATACCAACTCAAATGGTGTGAGAGTTCTCTTTGACATGGTTATACTGTATTCATGAAATAGTGGATATGGTCATTAAGCTTCTACATGACTAAAAGAGGATCGCTTTTCATTTAAAGAATTATAATTCACTTGAACAAATTGAAAAGGAGTTGATTAAATTCAAAGCTCATTTCTGATATGTCTTAGAGAGCTAGAGAATAAAAGGAAACCTCCTTAGCTTAATGAAGACTTCCCCATCCTCACTCCCAGAAATCGAAAGCAAACATGAACAGTAAAATTTTAGAATTGTTCCCTTTACAGTTAGTCACAAGTGTTAGGGTTAGTCACGCGGAGTAAGTCCACATTTTGCTGGTAACTCCAGGCAGTGGAATCAGACAGTGAGAACAAATAGAAAGTGTTACTATTAGAAGGGAATTCACGGAAATGTAATTTTGCAGCTGATAATGTTCCTTCAAATTGATGATCCTAAAGACTCAACTAAATGCTATAAGAACTTACAAAGAACTCATTAAAGCAGCTCAATTCAGGATCAATATATTAGCATCTGTAGCTTTTTTAGAGAACAGCAAGAGCCAATCATAAGCTAGAATAGAAAAATGCACAACAAAAGTTATAACACCTAAGAGTAAACCTAACAAGAAATAAGCAAAGGCTGGAAACCACCGATCTCTACACACAAGTGTGAAAGAGTTGAATAAATGAAGGAACATTCTAGGTTCCTGGATGGGAAACCTCAGTATTGTTAAGATGTCAGTTATCCTCAAATTGCTCCATATAGTCACTGCAAAATCGCATAACTTAATAGCTATTATCTTTCAAAATTAAATTTGAACCATTTAAAGTTTGTGTAGAATAAAAAAGCATAAGGATAGCTAAAAAAAAAAAGTATTCCTGGTTGTAGATGGGTAATGGTGGATGTGTCCTATCAACATCAAAATAGACTGTAGAGCTATATTAATTTAAAGGTGTGGTTCTGACAGTGCTAAAATATACAAATAAATTAATGGAGAAGAATAGGGTCCAGAGATAGATATTTGATGTACTATAAAGATGGCATTTCACATCAGTGGGAAAATAAAAGCAATAGTCAGTTACAGGCACTGAGATGATCAGCACTGACACATTTGGGGAAATTGTAAAGCCAGAGCCCTATCTCACATCAGAAGTTCACAAAAATTTCAGAAATAAATATAAAAACAAGGGCAATAAAAATATTAGGAAAAAATACAAAGAAATTTCCAAAAGTATAGTTTTGAGGCAGAAAGGGCCTGTCTAAATGAGACTTCATACCCAGGAGCTAGTCTTAAAAAAAAAAAAGTTGAAGACATCATATACAAATAAAAGACAAGTGTTAGACCATAGAAATATTTGCAACAAAAGTTAAATACCCATCGTAAGAGATCTATCTTAAAAATCTATAAGAAACATACAAACAGGTGGGCATGGTAGCTTATGCCTATAATCCCAGCACTCTGGGAGGCCAAGGCGGGAGATCACCTGAGGTCAGGAGTTCAAGACCAGCCTGACCTACATGGAGAAACCCCAGCTCTACTAAAAATACGAAATTAGCTGGACATGGTGGCACATGCCTATAATCCTAGCAACTGGGGAGGCTGAGGCAGGAGAATCATTTAAACCTGGGAAGTGGAGGTTGCAGTGAGCTGAGATGGTGCCATTGCACTCCAGCCTGGGCAGCAAGAGTGAAATTCCGTCTCAAAAAAGAAAAAGAAACATACAACACAGTGGAAAATTTTTTGTAGCTATGAACAAAATTTTCCCAAAGAAAAAAACAAATTGTCAGTAAACAATTTGAAAAGACATTCTGCCTCTTTTGTATCAAAGAAACAAAAATAAAATGAGATATTCCCTTTTATCCATTAGATTGGCAAAAATTAAAAAGATGGATTATATACAGTGTTAGGGAAGATACAGTGTGGTTGGAAGTAAATATCGTTAAACATTTTTGGAGGACAATTCAGTAAATACTAAAGTTTCAAATATACATGCTCTTTGATCTGCTAGAAATATTCATGTAAATATGTAAATATATTTGTATATAGGATGTTTATTATAGTCATGTTTATAATAGTGAAAACTGGACTTTCTAAAACAAAGTTTAACAATGGCAGATGGTTACAAATATTATAGACTATCCATACTCTGGACTAGTTTAAAAGATGTGGTAGATCTATATCTGTTGATATGTGTGGGGGAGATCCCATAATTCTATGATTCAGTGAAAATATTAAGTAGCAGAATGATATATATAGTATGTTTCTATTTATGTAAAAGATCAGATATATATGCATATATAAATGCATAGAAAAAGATCCAGAAGAGTAGATCTCAAGTTAATAAGAAGCTCAGGGACCCCTCATTTATCCTCTCCTTCAGTATTTTGAACAGTGGGGCACATGCCAAGGATTATTAGCCAAATGGAAAAGAGAGCACAGAGGATTTGCCTCAGGTGCACGTTTTTGCATGGAAACAACTATATGCAATTGGCAAGAAAATAGAGAGAGTATAGTAACTGCAGCCAGTGAGTGTGCTTCCCCGCAGCCCTGAAATGAGCCTGAGGAAGACGCAGGAGCCCTCTGCTTCCAGCCAAGGGCACTTCCCAGGGCCCTCTCAAGGGTGTGCATCTCAGCACACTGAGGTTGATTCCAGGGTCTGAAGACATGCGGGCTTGGTTTGTGCAACATGGCTTCTAAGTGAAAGCCGCTTCATCGTTAGTGATCTCTCCCAGCTCAGGATCGGAAGCGTATTGAGGGATTTTTTTCTTTTTAAGTTCCGGGGTGCATGTGTAGGATGTGCAGGTTTGTTACGTATGTAAACGTGTATCACGGTGGTTTACTGCACCTGTCAACCCATCACCTGGGTATTAAGCCCTGCATGCATGAGCTATTTATCCTGTCGTTCTCCTTCCCCTATCCCCACTACAGGCCCCAGTGTGTGTGTGTGTTCTCCTCCCTGTATCCATGTGTTCTCATTGTTCAGTTCCCACTTACAAGTGAGAACATGCAGCGTTTGGTTTTCTGTTCCTGTGTTAGTTTGCTGAGAATAATGGCTTCCAGCTTCATCCATGTCCCTGCAAAGGACATGATCTCATTCCATTTTATGGCTTTTTCCAAGGAGCAGTTTCTAATATGATACTTCCTAGAGGCTTTTCAGGGATAATTTTATACATAGTGTATACAGTTTTTTCCTGAGATGACAACTTTTGAACCTCTTTCCTGCCTTTTTCTCCATGCTGCTTTATTAATTTGGGCAAAATTCTATCCGGGGCTCTCAGATAATAGCTGGATTAGACAACACCCTGCAGTCCCACAGCCAAAGTACAGTCTGCCCAAGGCCAAACCTCCAGCCCTCAGTCTGCACCTGGGGTTACACACGCTCAGACATGATCCAGGGAACTGACTGGGTTTAAACAGCAGCCCCAGGACCTCGAGGCCACAGCTGATGAGTAGCATAGTTGGAGAGAGCAGACCAGCTTCCCACAATAGCTGCAGGTGGCACAGAGAGACCTAGGGAGGGAACCAGGCCTGTTCCAGAAGGCAGATGCTCCCGAATGTGGAGACAGGAAGAGGAGTCAGGAAGCTGGGTTCCTGCTCAGGGCACAGATTTCAGCGGTGACCGGCCACTAGTCCAACCTGGTGCCACCCGTGTCAGGCGCTCCCCAGGCAGCTCTGGACCCTTTCCCACTTTAGGGAGCAAGTAAGCTCACGCAGAGAGAAGGGCCAAAGGAGGATGTGGAGAGGTGGGGGAATCATTTCTTACTCTCTCATATTTTTCTAGAGGAAAGGCAGTAGAATTGGAAAAGGGTGAGGGAGGATATTTCACTTTTAGTCATATGCTTCAATATGAATTTTATCATTAGTTTTTACTGTGAGCAGGCATTCCCATGTGACTTAGGTCATTAAAATAAAACAAAAACAATTTTAAAATAAAGTTGTCAAAAAAGAAGTCAAATTACCACAGCTACAGACACGTATACTAGTAAGGAAAAATTGCCACAGGACTTGATTTTATTTTTCGCTAAGTTATGTATAGCCTGGACTTCAGCAGAAGTCCAGTTTGGTTAGTACGATATGAAGATCACCACATGTTTAGGTGATTGCATCTCCAAATGCCCACCCAGAATCCCTGCCTGGATAGTTCATTAAACTTCAGATGCCCAAAAGTGAGCTCCCTCTGCCTGCCTCCCCCTCTGCCGCCACCACCACCAAGAACAAAACCTGCTCCTCTTCCTTCGTATCCTGTCTCAGTAAAAGATGCCAGAATCCACCTACTTGCTCAAGGCAGGAACTTAAAGTCCTTTCTGGACTTTTTCCTCTTCTTCGCCTCCCACATGTGATCTGTCAGCGCGTCTGTCATCTTCACCTCCTGGACGCATCATGAATCAGTCCACTGCCCTCATCCCACCCCACTAGCCCAAGGCCCAGCAGCTCTCTGGACTCCTTGGATTGGCTTCATGATTGGTCTCTCCTCTCCCACTCTTAACCCTTTTAGACTCATTCTCTGCATTGAAACCATGAGACACTTTTTAAAATTTCAACTTTTAATTTTGACATCATCATAGATTTGCATACTGTTGTAAGAACTAATAGAGGTGCTGTGTTATCCAGTTCCCCTCAATAATAACATCTTGCAAAATACTGGGATTATGACCAGGATATTGACACTGATACAGTCAAGGTTCAGAACAGTTCTATCACCACAAGGATTCCTCTCTAGTCCTTTGACAGTTACACCCACCCCATCTCTCCCTCCCCCTCCCTCAGTCTCCCATCCCATCCCTGAGGAGGTGACACTTTTTAAAAAGGATACTGGCTGGGCACAGTGGCTCATGCCTATAATCCGAACACTTTGGGAGGCTGAGGCAGGCAGATCACCTGAGATCAG